TCATATGATACATGTCTTTCTCTGATTGACTTATTTCACTCAGCATAATACCCTCCAGTTCCATCCCCATCATTGCAAATGGCAAGATTTCATTCCTTTTGATGGCTGCGTAATATTCCATTGGATATATATGGGTATGTTTTTATCCAAGCTGGAAGACAGTTCTACCAGGATGAGACTCTGCCTCCAGCAGAAGCTGACTGGTATAGAGTAGGAAGGAGAAAATGCATGCCAAGATCATTGCCAGTAAAAGGACCAACAAGAAAGCCTCCATCTCCACTGGCCTGAGAACAGTTTCACTAGATGTCAGATCTGAGAACTAGCTGGAAATTTAACAGGGAATCATAATATACAGAGACCACAGAAGGGCTACTGAGGGCATCAGGGAGGCCTGGAAAAACTGGGATGCACACACACAGGAAAACTGCCAAGACACTGAATTCTATGCCCTCCCTGCTTCCACCCACATGTAGAGCCATCAGCAGAAGGGGAGATCAGTAGGCTTGAGCATAAGCCAAGAAGATATAGAATAAACCCTAGAAGTCAGGCTAGAAAACAGAAGAGTGAAGCCAAGACATCAAAGGCTGCATGCTATGGGGTAAACAGATTTCAGAGAGAATTCCAGGCATGAAATAAAACAAGTACACAAAAAATCAAAATAACTATTATAAATCTTAAAAAAAAAATCAGAAACCAGATGATACAATATATTATCTAGAATGTCTGTTTTTCAACAAAAATTATGAGACATGCAAAAACACTAAAAACTGTGAGCCATACTCAGGAATAAAATCAGTCAATAAAAGTGGACTCTGATGGGCCAGATGCTAGATTTAGCAGACAACTTTTAAGAAATAAGTATGTTCAAAAATTAAAAAAAAAAACAAAACAGAAAAGATAACATAGAAAAACAAGGTAACAATGATTTAACAAATATAGACTCTCAATAAAGAGAAACTATGAGGAAAGTACTAAAAAGAAATTTCTGAGTTGGCAAGTATAATAACCCCAAAATGAGAAATTCACTAGATGGGCAAAATGGCAGATTTAAAATGGCAGAGAAAAAGAATCAGTCAAATTGAAGACTGTATAATTTCCATCTTACTCTAACTGGAAAATAAGAGAAAAAAGATTGAGGAAAAATAAGCAAAGTCTCAAACACCTAGGAGACAACATCAAGGAATACAAACATATGAATAATGGGAATTTCCTCCCAAAAAAGAGGGAAGAGAAAAAAAAGGGACAGAAAAAGTAGTTAAACACATACAGCCAAACCCCCCAATTTGATGAAAAACAATCTACAGTTCCCAAAATTAATAAATCCCAAGTAAGATAAACAAAGAGATCCACACCCAGACACATTATACTGAAACTGTTGAAAACCAAAGACAAAGAGAAAATTATGAAAGCAGCAAGAGAGAAAAAAAAAAAGACACATGACATCTAGGAGTACAAAATATCATTAATGGCTGACTTCTGAGAAACAATGGAGGACAGAAACCAGTGAGATGACATGTTTAAAATAATATAAGAGAAAAAATCCTATCAACTAAGAATTCTATATCTAGCAAAACTGTCCTTCAAAAAGTAAAGGCAAAATTAAAACATTCCCAGATAAACACATATTGATATGACATCAAATAGAAACATGAATCCATGGGAGGAAATAAGGAGCACTGGGAATGGGAAATACGTGTTTTAAAAGATAGGATAAGCTTTTTTTTTTCTTTCCTGAATATTTTTGAAAGACAAAAGATTACATAAAGCAAAGCTTAGGAAACTATATTCCATGGGCCACATTTGTCCCACCCCTGTTTTTACATAGCCTGTGAGCTAAAAATGGTTTGTATATTTTCAAATAGTTGGGAAAAAAATTCAAAATAATATTTTGTGACATATGGAAGTTTGCCAATCCCTGGCATAATGCAATAATTATTATACCATATACATCACATGTAACACATATAGTTACGAATCTGTTGCACAGCTCTGTCACATGTAAATGTAGTATGTATGACAATAATAGCAAGAAGGAGGGAAGAGGAAACAGAACCATGTTGGAGCAAAGTTGCTATATTTTACCAGAATTAAGGTATTAGCATGAAGTAGATTATGATAAATTCAAATACATATTTTAATCCCTAGAGCAAACACTAAAAAAAGTGGCTGAAAATCAACAGAATTAAAATGGTACATTAAAAAAATTTTAATACAAAAGAAACCACTAAAAGAAGCAGCAAAAAAGAGACAAGGCATAGGGAAAACACAGCAAGATGGCAGATGTAAATCCAACCAAAGCCATAATTACACTAGATATGGATGGCTTAAGCATCTCAATCAAAAGGCAGAGACTGCTGGATTTAAAAAAAAAAAAAAAGGATCCAACTAAAAGGTGCATAACCAGAGGCAAACCCTGGCTCAAAGTAAAAAGATGGAAAAAGGTCTAGCATGCAAAGAATAACCATAGGAGAAATGGACTGGCTATACTAATATTACACAAAATAGATTTTAAGGCAAGAAACGTTAATAGAGACAAAGAGGGATATTTCACATTGATAAAAGAGTCAAACATCAGGAATATATAACAATTACAAAGGTATGCATATCTAACAACAAAACTCCAAAACACATGAATGAAAAGCTGATAGAAATTAAAGAAGTAGACAAATCCACAATTAACAGCTGGAGATTTCAATACCGAATCTCAATAATTGACAGAACAAGTGAACAGAAAATCAGTAAGACTACAGATTTCAACAGGACTACCAACCATCTTAACCTTAGAGACAATTGCAAAACACTCCCCCTAACAAAGGACGAATGCACATTCCTATTAAGCAAACATAAAACATTCTCTAAGATAGACCACATTCTATAAAACAAGTCTCAACAAATTTAAAAGATCTGAAATCATTCAATATATGACTAACTACAATCATAACTGTATAACTAAAATGGAATTAAATCAGAAATCACAAACAGAAAGAAATTTGGGAAATCCCCAAATACTTAACACTTCTAAATAATCCATGGTTCAAAGAGATCTCAAAAATGAAACCAGAAAGTATTTTAGGCTGAACAAAAAATGAAAACACAGCACTATCATAATTTATGTGGTACAGCCAAAGCAGTGGTTGGAAGGAAATCTGTTATTTCAAACGCTATTAAGAAAGAAGGTCTCAATAATCAATGCTTCCACCTTAAAAAAAAAAAAAAAAAAGCAAAAACATATTGTATCTAAAGCAGAAGGAAGAAAATTATAAAGATCAGAGTAGAAATCAATGAAAGAGAAAACAAAAACAACTGAAGGAAAACCCAAATCAATGAAACCAGAGGTTAGTTCTTTGAAAAGATCAACAAAATTAATCAACTTTTAACATGGCTGATGGTGGGGGAAGCTGGCAGAAATACAGAAGACACAAATGATGAAAAACCAGGAAAAAAAGAAGGGACATCAATACTATGTTATAATAAGATATATATTTGGTCTTTGTCCCTCATCCCTGGCACAGAGCTCCTAAAATCCTAGAAATTTTCTGTTAGGAGTGTCTCTTGTCATTCATAAGGAGCCTTTTCGAGCCCACCTGAGTTTATGCTAATGAGCTAACTTAGGGCAGGGTCCCTAGATCACCTCAGGATGAGGCTGGTCACCAGAAAGACCAAATGATTGGAGGGTTGGAACTTTCAATCCCACCAAGAGATCTCTGGGAAGGGGAGCAAGTGTGGAGGGGGTGTTGTAGATTAAGGTACATAAAAACTCCTGAATGGCAAGATCTGATGAGCCTCCACATGCTGGGAGAGTGGTATACCCCAGTTCCACAGGGACTGAAGCTCCTGTACTCAGGCCTTATCCTGACCTCATCCTTTGTACCTCTTCAACTGGCTATTCATCTGCATAGATATTTATAA